GGAATTGATTTTTTAATTAGCTGAATGTGGTCTAGCATGGAAGAACAAAGAGATGAAGGCTGGGGCTGCTGTTGCTGTCTCCACCCAAAAACCACCTGCTCCTGATCTCAATGATTTCCATTAGTGTGGACGATTTAAAAAAAACCCTACATCATTTCCTCCTCAAACAAAGTGACCTCGTTTTATATTTCCTTGCGTTTTTACAGCTATACCTTGCAGTTCATTAGTATAAAAGAAATGTAACATTAACTGGGAAATGATCTTGAAAGCTGTGATTCAGCAGAAAAAAAAATAAATTATTTTTTCCACGAACACGTACGACTTGAATAACAGAGCTCAGCTCACTGTGATGGGTGTGTTTGTATTGAGCAGGACTGACCACAGCTTAAAGCTCCTGTGGGATCCGCGTGCTACTCAAGGGCACTTTGCCTGTCACAGCGGGCGCTGCAGATGCATCACAAGCCACACTACAGCCACGAGCTCACCGCTGTAATGCACCGCCTCATCAGTGACAAAGATCGTATCAGCGGGTTGATATGTTTCATCAGGAGGAGAGGAGTCAGTGTAAGAGCACACGTCGATGAATAATGTGCTTTTTAGAAAAGGAAGAAGCTGAAAGGAGTGATGGAGGAGTGGTGGCGGGGGGCGCGCAGGGACAGACACATTAGACAAAGAGGAAATTGGTCAGTAAAAAAAAAAGAAAAAGGGGAGAGTAATGCTGATGCCTGTTGCCATGGTGATGTGGGTCAATGACTGGTTGCCATGGTGATCGCTACTTGGAATTCTGGGAAGGGATATTTTGGCGTGTGCGTGTGGATGAGGGGAGACGTTTATTCAATATAACTGAGAATGTGCAGCATGCGTCTATGTGTACGGACGGGCACCTTTATAACAGCAAGTGTGGTAACGTGTGCTGCAGTAAGTCAGGCGCAGTGCTGCTCAAAATTCAAAATAAAGCAAGAATATCAAGATAACGGTGCAGCCTGTAACCTGTCATTACTTTGTGTAAGGATGATTTAGTCTCTAAGGTCTGCATATTTGAGACTTTGTGATCAAAGGTCAGAGGTCACTGTGACCTCACTCAAGGATGTACTTGGTATTTATGACCAGTGTTGTTACTTGAAAATATTAATTAGTTACTAATTACTGATTACTTCCCAAGAAAGTAATCCCATTACTTTACTGATCACTTACACAACCTGAATACATTCTAAAGCAATAGACAATTCAATTTTTTCTGCATAATCCATCAGATGAAATTCGAATGAAAAAGACTCTTTCTAAAAAAATGTTTTATTAGTTTTCATCACTAACTTTATGCACTTTGCATCAAGCAAGAATTAAATTATATGCAACAGTCTTTGACTTGAAGACATTTGTTCAAAATTTAAACCTTTTTTCTGCGTATTCCAGCGTATAAAATAAAATAATTTTTTGTGTTTACACTCACCCTTTCAAATAGATGCAAGTAAAACACAGCAAAAAAGGAATAAAATCAAAGACTCCTGTCGCTCTTAAATCTATTGTCAACTGTTTAGGAGGAGTGGGGCCGGTGGTCGTACTTTCTCCCACACTCCATATTATCCATTGTTGTTCTACACATTTCTGTTACTACCACAGCGTCGCACGCTCGTACGTCATTGTCATGAGACACTGACAAACAAAATCA